GGGGAATTTTCAGAAAACCATAGATAATATTGTGATTATACTCATAGCATTGTTATTTATTAGTCCTTAAATACGCGGTTGAATTTTAATTCCACTTTACCTTTTTTCCTTCGTCAAGAATTTACGAAACCTATTTATTCGAAATTTAATTATCAAGTGTCCGAACTGTATGTAGGGTTGGGTGCATTTAAACAATAAAAGCATGTATTTGACTATCATATGCAAATATTTAATTTTTTGCATTGCTAAAATCAAGGACTATATTACGTAGGGTAGGATAATCGATCATAACTAACTTACATCACAAAATTGATATTGAGTATGGGCAACAGATTTTCTGGAGTCATCATTTCTTTTACGTGTAAAATAGTTCAAAGTGAACCTAACTATTGAAGATAAACATCAAGAAATGAAGAATGGTAGATGGGTAGGTAATTACAGGTCCTCTTTTTTTTTTTTTTTTTTTTTTTTTTTTTTTTCTCTCTTATTAGTGCAATATATACGAAGTTGGTTTATTTCGTATTATCTTAAATGCTATATTTCGTTAAATGCCTTAGATGATTTTTTTTTTCCTGTTAACTTATACAAATTCATGTATCCACTGACCCACAGATAATTTTTTTTTACTGTACTAGTCAATTTCTTTTTTAAATAACAGTCAAATTATGTATATCGAGAGAGTAACTTTAGAAATTGTTTCCTGATTTAAAAAAAAAAAAACTAAACAAACACAATTTATCTTGAAGAAAGAATAAAAGTGAAATTAAAACATAATTAAAAACCATCTAATTAGTAATTTTGGATAAGATGGCTTCCAAAAGTCCAACAACATTGGTTATGTTTGTTAAGCTTTCCAAATTCTTTTCACACTTTCCCCAAAATGAAAATTATCTTTTCACACTATTTTCAAAAATTTTCCCCAAAACAAATTCAAATATTTCTCTCTCTAACAAACATGATTTGACCGCTACAGTGAAAATTGTCTTCACTAAAATACAAAATCAAATCACTTTATCTTTTAAATTCTTTTTCCAAAATACATTTTTCCAACACATTTCTGACATGATTTGACTTGCTACAGTACAAATTGTCTCCTCCCAAAACACAAACAAACTTTATTTAATTTTCAAATTATTCTCCCAAAACATCTTTCCCCAAAATAAAATGGAAATGGAAGCCCAAAAGCTTACCAAACACAGCCATTATTATTATTATTTATGTCATTGTTGATTCAAAACATGTGAATTCAAACATAACTTAATCATGAAATATCTAGTTCTCATAATAAATAAAATGCATTCTTTGATATATTTTTCAAAACAATTATACATTTTTTTTCTTTCTAAAGTATCTCTAAATAATTATTATATAAAGATAAAATAATAGAAAAGTATTTATAAATATATCCAAAAACACCGCTACCCAAAATATCAAAAAACATAAAAACAAACGGCTAATAAAACATCACAAGAAATTGAGGAGGGTGCATTTTGCCACGAGATATATTTTATAAGGGTGAACTTTGCTAATTTTTAAATGACAGGGTGCAAAACGGCAAACAGTGTTAATTCTGGGGTGCAAAACTGCAAACAGTGGTAATTCTGGGGTGCAAAACACAATTCACGCTAAAGAAAATAATAAATATCTGAGGTATTTACATTGGAGAGTCGTGTCAAAGCGACACTAGACACTTGTCGACTCCACACAGGCATCAACACCGGCGAAGAAGAAGGAAACGACACGATCGCCATTTTTCTCTCTCTATAAGGGTAAAACCGTCCTCGTATCTTGCACTTTCTCTCTCTGGAATTTCCTAATTTTCTCCTCCTTTTTATGTTTTTATCCTTTGCCTAATCAATTTTCTTCTTCGCCAATTTCTAATCTTCACTTTTCATTTAGTTAGGAATTAATTCTTCAGATTCATAGAAATGTTTGATTTTTTTCTGATTTTTTTTTTAATATAGTTCATCAAAGAACGATGATTAACCGTCCGATCATAGGAGATTTTGAGATTTTGTTATGGCCGTTTGATCTTTGAGCTGCGAAATGAGCTCTGCGAAAAGACGGAAAACGAATCTAGTTATAAATAATTATGAAGATGATTATCTATTGGATTTCCGAGATCTCGTTTTTGTTATTTATTTAATTATTTATTATTATAGTGAAGTATGCATATCGATTTAAGAAAGTGGAGTTTTTTTTTTTTCAGTTTTTATTCTGGTTAGATTTTGTGTTTGTTTCGTTTTTAGATCTGAAATTAAAGAAAATAAAACTTGAAGAAGTGACTGAGAATCTGAAATAGAAATACCTGTATGATTTTACTGTAGTCAGTAATTGAGTGCTTTACTCTCTGTCAGTATGAATTCGGAAGTTTTTTCAAGTGGAAGCTGCTGCGCTGTATAGTTTTGTCAATTCTTTAAAGCTAAGTATTCAGTTGTTTACTATTATTTAACTGCACAGAGTGCGACCTGTTTCGAGTTTTTAATATTTCAAGTTTCCAATTAATTTTTTAATTTTAAATTTAGTGATATCTGCTTGATTATTTATAGAGCTGGTTGGTTTCTTCCTTAGCATGGAAAAAAGGAGGAATATGTGTATTTATTGTCATTAATTGATATACTAACTAATGATTTAATTTTGCATTTTTGCTAGTTAGTGGCTCAGTTTTTTGGGTATTTGAAACAATGGGGTCTTACATGAACTTCAAGAACTCAGGAGAAGCAGATGGTAGTGGTGGAAATGGAAATGGAGTGCCCCATTTTAATTACCCACTGGTTCGACAGTCGTCGGTATATTCCCTCACGTTCGATGAGTTTCAGAGCACGTTGGGTGGATCCGGAAAGGATTTTGGATCAATGAACATGGAGGATCTGTTGAAGAGCATTTGGACAGCTGAAGAAAGCCAGGCTGTAGGTGGTGGAGATGGAGGTGCGCCAGCTGGCAACTTGCAGAGGCAGGGTTCTCTAACGCTACCTCGTACGCTTAGCCAGAAAACCGTCGACGAAGTGTGGAGGGATGTCTTGAAAGAGCCTAGTGGCGGTGGCGGTGGTTCGGGTTTGGGGCCAAGAGAGCCCACTTTGGGCGAAATGACACTCGAAGAGTTCTTATCTAGAGCTGGTGTTGTCAGAGAAGATAACCAACCTTCTGTGGGGCCCACTGGAACCGGCTTCTACAGTAGTTTATCTCCGTTAAACGGTAATAATAACGCTGGTTTTACCATTGGATTTCAACAGCCGTCTCAGAACAACATCGTTCTTAATCCACCTAATTTGGGGATTAATATGAGTGGTGTAACGACTTCTCAACCGCTGCCAAGGCCACAGCTACAGCCTCTTTTTCCTAAGCAAACAACTCTGGCTTTTTCCTCCCCGACACAAATTGTGAGCAATGCTCATATATCTAGCCCAGTGGCAAAGGGCAGAATGGGGAATGGTTTGAATAACGGTGTAAACGTTCAAGGTGGGAAAATGGTGATGGGCGGTGGATCGAGCAATGGAGTGGCGGCGGCGGTTGTTGCTGCAGGGGGGTCTCCAAGGAATCATATGTATTCGGATTCTGTCGGTAAGAATGATACGGACTCTTCATCTGCTTCGCCTACGCCTTATCATGTCGGGGAAGGTGGAAGAGGGAGGAGGTCTTCTAGTTCGTTGGAGAAAGTGGTGGAGAGGAGGCGGAGGAGAATGATTAAAAACAGAGAGTCTGCCGCCAGGTCACGAGCTAGAAAACAGGTGATTAAATAATGATTGAGAAGTAAATGTGCTCTCGTTCTTGATTTGAAGATCTTGCCACTTAGTTGACTACCCGAATCCATTTTTTAACTTGACTTCTATATGTTGTGGTATCAATATCTGGTTTAATTTGTTTCCACGATCGACTGGTAAACGATGATACATATGGAGGATTTCCTTTTTATGCTTCGGGAATTTTTGGGGTCAACAGATTTTGCCATGACGCGATTGTGGAATAATACTTAATAGTTCACCTTTGTAAATTTTCAATGTCTGAGTAAACTTTCAATCACATAATTCATCACCCCGATTAATAACGCGTGCGGTGTAACGACCAAAATGCAGGCCTATACTCTGGAATTGGAATCGGAAATAGCAAAGCTCAAAGAAATGAACCAAGAGTTGCAGAAAAAGCAGGTATATTTATTTTCACAGTCAAAATAGAGTCAACGGGATCAAACTTAATATCGGCGGCTTTAACAACGATTTTTATCATGTTTGTTGTACAGGAAGAACTCGTGGAGATGCAGAAAAATCAGGTGTGTGATTCTTTCGCTGCTTTAAAAGTCATAAATTGTTGTAAATTTTCCACGCAACTTCGATATATTTAATAACATTTTATTGTAGTCATCAATCAACAAACCGGTCAAGTATGTAAAAACACATTATCTTGTAAACCATAAACCAGTGAACAAACCATGGTTAATCCATCTTATAACCATGGTTAATAAGATGATAGTTTCCTTGGTTTTTGGGTACCTAGCGGACTTAGCTACGATTTATTTTTTAACTTTTATTTTTTATTTGTGGGTGTACAGATTTTGGAGACGATGAATAAACAGTGGGGAGGTAAAAGAAGATGCTTAAGGAGGACTGTGACTGGACCTTGGTAGTAATATTAGATCACAAAATCTGAAAGCTTAGTGTGTTTCATAGGATTGAACAGCGTACCGAAGCAAAGAGTGTATTGCTGTAAATTATTATGGTGCTGCTCTTATAGGTGTCGGAATATATACGACCTTTATTTGCTTCTCGTTTTGTTTAATATTTAGATTAATATTTATTTAGAAAAACATCGTGGATCCTTGTATTAGCAGAATACAGTATTGGTGTTGCAAACAGTATATTAATTTTTATCTTCTTTTGTTCTGGTAATGCCCTTTTGATTCATTAAGTTGCACAAATTTAATTTGATTTAGTTAGTTGATTAAAGAGCATTAAATTTCAATGTGGTTTCTATTTCACAATTATCTCTCATGCTTCTTATAGTGTCAATATCTATATATTTTATATTTATATTATAGGTACCGGAATTTTCGAATTTCTGTGTATTCGATCCGAATGCTTTTGATTATGACACAAGTTTTTCATTTAAATTTTCGAATTTTTATTTGAATGGAACTGAAATTAGTGCACTTCCCAACGAAAAAACATTGATTTTTTTTTTTTTTTTTTATAAAAATGCTAATTCAGAAATGCAATCGATTTTAATTTCGACAATCGAGTTCGATTTCTTTAATAACAATTTTAAGGATAGTGTAATTTATATTTCGAATTGAATAGAATCCAAATTTGTTCATTAAATAACAAAAATGTGGATATGAAGGACTTGTTTGGATATGATCAACAGCTAGGACAAGCTGCGAGTCTTATTTCCAATTAGGCTGTAGGCAAAGCACTTCCCTCAAGCTGCCGTATTATTTTAATCAGAAACTAGAAAGTTATAAAACGACACCGTAAGAGAGCTAAAACGAAGTAGAGAGAGAGAGGAGAGAGAAATCCAGAAATGTTCAGAAACTTGGCCGTAAGAATTTCATCGTCGGCTTCGAGCCGATCGATCTCCCGGCGGCTGCGGCACCCGAATTGCCCCGCCGACCCGACCCGAAGCTTATGTTCCAGTATCCTGCCCGACACACTCGACCGGAGCTCCGAGTCTTTCGCTCGCAACTCCGCAGCAATGGAAGGCATAATTTCTCAACTTCACTCGCGCATTGAAAAGGTATCGCCTCCCTCCCCACTCTCTCTCTCTCTCTCTCTCTCACACACACACACACACATCACTGATATCACTGACACGTGTACTATGTGTTGCATGTGTGTGTGTTACAGGTGATGAATGGCGGAGGGTCCGAAGCTGTAAAGAGGAACAAAAGCAGGAATAAGCTTCTTCCTAGAGAGAGAATCAATCGCTTGATCGATCCCGGTTCTTCATTCCTCGAGCTTTCCCAGGTTTCATTTCTCTCTCTAATTTTAATATCCCAAAAAATATTGCAATTCATTAATTTCTCTTCAATTATTTCACCTCAATATCTCTGTTTTCAAATTCAATCATCACTGCAAAAATTAAAGCATTGTGTATAATACTCTTAATTCTTAATCTTAGCTTGCTGGCCACGAATTATACGATACTCCATTACCCTCCGGCGGAGTAGTTACCGGCATAGGTCCCGTTCACGGAAACCTATGTATGTTCGTCGCAAACGACCCGACCGTGAAGGGCGGAACGTACTATCCAATCACGGTTAAGAAGCATCTTAGGGCACAAGAGATTGCCGCTCAATGTAGACTGCCGTGTATGTATCTTGTAGATAGTGGAGGCGCTTTTCTTCCGAAGCAGGCCGAGGTGTTTCCCGATAAGGAAAACTTCGGTAGGATTTTCTATAATCAAGCTGTGATGTCGGCAGAAGGTATTCCGCAGATAGCGTTGGTACTAGGCTCCTGCACAGCTGGCGGTGCTTATATTCCTGCTATGGCTGACGAAAGCGTGATGGTGAAAGGGAACGGTACCATTTTTCTCGCTGGACCTCCTCTTGTGAAGGTTAGTTAAGGCAATGTTTGGATGCGTTTGTAAGCTTGTTTTCGATTTGTTTTTTTTTCCAGCTGTGTACTCGTTTATTTTTTTTTTGAAAGAGATAATTTATTTGAAGTTTTAGTAGGCTGCTACTGGAGAGGAAGTCTCTGCAGAAGACCTTGGTGGTGCATCTGTTCACTGTAAAACATCGGGTGTTTCAGACTATTTTGCACAAGGTAAATATTTGCTATTTTTTTTTAAGTCAAATGCTTTATGTTGAATTTAATGAAATCATCGATGTGCAAATTACGTGTATCTTGTAGACGAACTACATGCACTTGCTATAGGAAGAAACATAGTGAAAAATCTGCACATGGCTGGAAATGCGGGTGAACAACGTCATGTAATGCCCGATTTCAAGGAGCCTTTGTATGATGCGGCTGAACTTTGTGCTATTGCACCAACGGATCTCAAGCAGTCATTTGACATCCGGTCGATTATTTCACGTATTGTTGATGGTAGCGAATTTGATGAATTCAAGAAACTGTATGGCTCTGTAAGGCTCTTTTAACTCCAAATTATATATAGTGATTCTATCGGTATATGTTGTTATGGACTCTAACAGTATCTTGTAATTGTACCTTTTGTTTTCCAACGAATAGACGCTTGTAACAGGATTTGCGAGAATATTTGGGCAACCCGTTGGAATTATTGGGAATAACGGTGTACTGTTCAACGAATCTGCGTTGAAAGGGGCTCATTTTATTGAATTATGTACTCAACGTAACATCCCGTTGATCTTTCTTCAGAATATCACTGGATTTATGGTATGCAATAACTATTGCCACACTTCCTAATTACTTCAAATGATATAGTAGATTTTATACTTATACAATTATTTAGTGAGTAAAGACATGGTTAACTTTATATGGCCTTTTCTTTTTGTTAATTCCTGATCATAATTGGTTCACAATGAGCATGTGCTATGTGGAATATATACATACACTGTCGGATTTGACATCACATTCATAAATGGTTTGCAATTAATTGGATGTAGAATTATTTTAGTTTAGACGAATAGCTCAGTTCGACTTAGAAGATGTCTCCGGGATGAGTTTGTGTTTGAAAATGAGTTGATGAATCAAATTTCTTTGTCAACACGTTCTAGCAAATTTCAATAATATGACAAAACATTCCAGTTTTCTTGAGTTTCCAAACTAGGAGAGGTTGATCAAATCATGAGGTTTTTATACGTAGAAAATGTGATTATGAATATAAAAATTAATTATATCTTCTTCAACTGCAGGTTGGCTCAAAATCTGAGGCCAACGGTATAGCAAAATCCGGAGCTAAAATGGTAATGGCAGTTTCTTGTGCGAAGGTCGGTTTTCTATATATTTATTATACTTATATGTTTTTTGTGAATTTCTATAAATAATTTGCAAAATGTGGGCGACAAAATATCCGTCACGATTTGCTTGAAAAGTTTGGAGTTTTTTGACTTTTATTTTGACAATGAACACTTGATTATCATCTTCATAATATTCAATTTCTAATGGCTGTTTTACTTGCTACTATAATCCATTTAGGTTCCCAAAATCACGATTGTTGTCGGTGGAAGCTTCGGAGCTGGAAACTATGCAATGTGTGGACGTGCATACAACCCTAATTTCATGTTCTTCTGGCCGAATGCGAGAATATCTGTAATGGGCGGAGCTCAGGTACTAATTATTATAATTTGAACTCTTCCATAATCACAAATGAAACAACTACATATATTTATCAGAAATGAACGTTAGAAATTGAAACGATACATCGATTATGAATACATCTCTAGAGTTTTGCCGGAATATTCTAAAAGTATACTACAAAATATTTAGTGAAGTAAAGTTCCTAGAAATTTCTCTACTTTTTCACGAGTCTTTCACACTTCTAAGTTTGTGGAGTTTTTTTTAAATATGTACAAAAACAAAGGTGGATAGTGCCACAATTAGGACTAACTATTATATAAATTCGTCCTCTACGATTTTTGGTCAGTTAGTGTGTTGAAGTTTGGTATATTTTGGCTCTATCAAGCCTATCAAACAAGTTGGCAATTGCATGAAATATGACAAATCCAATAATTACGAGGATAAAACACGCTTATATAAGGTGGCCGCCTATCTAACAATATTTTGGAAAAGCACATTTCATTCATCCCTAATTAGTTCAAACGGGTTCCTTCAGGCTGCTGGCGTGCTGGCTCAAATAGAACGAGGCAATAAGAAAAAGGCTGGAATCGAGGTAAGATTTCTACTTTTAGTCAATCTGCTAGACCTACAACATCTGATCAATATTCAATAATTAACGTGTAATTACAATATTGTACAGTTGAGTAAAGAAGAGGAGGAGAAATTTAAGGCAGGGGTGGTGGAGGCTTACGATAAAGAAGGCAGTGCTTATTACTCCACGGCGAGGCTTTGGGATGATGGCGTTATTGATCCAGCAGATACGAGAAAGATTTTAGGCCTCTGCCTTGCAGCTTCTACAAAGAACAAACCCGAGAGTACCAAATACGGTGTCTTCAGAATGTGATGTTGATTAACGACCGTCTCCATTGCAATATTCAATGATTTGAAAGATGCCATGTAGAATGGTCGAAAGTATTAGTTTGTTATGTTGGGATTCAGACGCGTTTGTACAAGATAGAAATCGAAGAAATTAATAATCTGATGAAGCAAAGATAACATAGTTTGATCTTGTAGGCAGGAGCGGAAATTGTGTAACTTGTGATCGGTGAATGTATATTTCGACACTACATGCAGTTTGAGAAAAAATATGGTGTGAAAAAAGCATCTCAATCTTATGATTAATGTCTGTAGACACCGTCGGTGGATGATATCGTGTATACCGTGTAGTATCAATCATTTAATAATAAAATAAACACTTACAATGTTTTGAATTTTGATATGATGACTATTGAAACATGGAAACCGAGAGAGAAACGAAGCCGACCAAAAACCGTTGATATAGTTTTATTATGATTGATATATAGCTACAACACTTCATGAATATCACTAGCGCCCGTGGCCTAATGGATAAGGCGTCTGACTTCTAATCAGGCGATTGTGGGTTCGAGTCCCACCGGGCGTGCTTATATTTTAATATATATTTTTTTCGCTTTATTTTATTATTATTAAAAGAATATAATATTGGTGGGTCCTACTAATCAACTAGCGCCCGTGGCCTAATGGATAAGGCGTCTGACTTCTAATCAGGCGATTGTGGGTTCGAGTCCCACCGGGCGTGCGATCGTAATTATTTTTTTGTTATATTGTATGTTTTGAATTAATAGTAAACGACCTACATATCTAACAACAAGCACCCGTGGCCTAATGGATAAGGCGTCTGACTTCTAATCAGGCGATTGTGGGTTCGATCCCCACCGGGTGTGCTAAAATATTTTTTTTAAACTTTTTAGTCAGGTTAAATTTAAAAGCAAATTAATTATATTTAATATTTTTTATTTTCTCATTTATGGACTTTTATAGAAAAAATTATCCAATAATGCATCTCACATGTTTGGCCCTTCACGGATTCCAGCCTGTAACCTACTATAAAAATCTCAACTCCTAAAGAAAACAATTGAAATCCAAAAATTGTTTATTATTATTCTTTTGTTTTGTTATTTACACGTCACCATCTCCACCCAAAAATTGAAATACCCACGTGCCTCATTGATCCATTCCACCACACACACACACATACATATATACAATCCACTTCACCATCGCTTTCTTTTCTGCAACTGTAACTCAGCATCCACGCGGCCACTCCGAAAACGTTTTCCATGCCATATATTTTGAATCAATTTATACATAACACAGATCACGCCGACATTTTTACCCACAATTGAATCAGTGAGGGTTTTTGCATTTCATTTCCTTTTCGCTAGAAAAAATGTCCGCTTCATCATGCTGCTCTTCTTCTGCTCTCTTCTCGCTCGCGCTCCGCCGCCGCCGGTACGGAGTTGCGCCGTCGAACTCAGTGAGTCACCCGCAGCTGATTCAGCGGTTCGATCTCTCGTTCCGAGCTCAGAGGAGACCCGGCGCCCCCAAATCCCTACGCGTCTCCTGCCTTGGTGATAACAAAGGTAGTTTCTTCACCCCCTGCAACTGTTCGACAAAAGTTGCCTATGGCGGCCTATCTTAGATTTGGCGTTTTTTATTTTTTTTCTTCCTTCGATTTATAAATTGATTGATTGAATTTGAAATATTTGCATTGATTCGTGATCTGATTATTATTTCGTGATTTTAGGATAAATTGATTGATCTGAATTTTTTTTATCTGGTCCAGTGAAGAAGACTTGAAGTTTTGTGAGGTTGTTGCAATGTAGATTAGAAATGTTGTCTTTTGAAAACTTAATTTCTTCTACTCGTTTTTACGATGCCTTGATCTAGATGTATACGTGGTTGCCCCAATTGTAATTAGCACTTGGACCCCTGCGAAACTTGATTTCGATTTGTTTCGTAAATTAAGGAAAGAATCTGATATTGCAGATTAGTGACGTTCATTCATAACTTATGAATGTTCCTTAGTGTTATATGAAACCATAGTTGTTGACACTTATTGTATGATTGTATAATGCTGGCTCACAAGGACTTAACTCTAAAAGAATCGATTGAAAGGGAGATACGATATGCGATTGACAATTGTTAATGCGTCAAATATAGGTACTTCATTGGTTCACGAGAGTTAGTTATAATGTTTATTCTTGTCTGACTATCATGTTATGCATTGTTATCTATTTATTATCGAGTTAATTGTGTGTTTTGATGGGTTCTGTGGATAAATTTATTGGGGAGGTGGTTGCCTGATTGGGTTATGATGGTGGGGAGACAGATATATTTAGTAGTATTTCTCGAGTTTGACTTTTTGTTTTTGCTGGCTTAGTTTTTCGGATGTATGCTTATCAATATATTTCGATGGATATGTTTATATGATAGTTTATCTGAATTCCACAGTTTAGAAATGGTTATATCGTTTTCTTTTATGCAGTAACTAACACGATCGCTCTCTGTCTTTCCCTAAAATATTGAATAAAGCATTGCTGATGTAAACTACATGCAGCTGCAATTTTTTCCAGTTTGACTCCCGTCCGTAGAATATTGAATTTATAAAGACTAATGGTTGTTTTGTTATTTTGAGAAGATAATTACTTCCTCTCTCTTCATCTGCATAGTCGGTGGCAATATTTCAGTGTCCTTGCTGATTGTTGAATAAAAAAAAAAATAGATGCACGGAAATGGAGTTTTTACGACTTCAAGCGATGTCTCGTGCCATATGTGGGGCCCACTTTGGAAGATATGGTTCTTTAGTTAATTACTTGAAACCAATTAGGTTTGATTGGTGGTTGTAAAAAAATCCGAGACGTGTATAAAAATGAGCAAGCAATGCATCATTCTTATTGACGATCTTAACTGATTTTCTTGCACCGTCTCCTATACATACAGTAGATTTAACTGATTTTTTTTAAGGTTCATATTATTGAATTTTTCCTTGTAATCTTTCTTCTAAATCGGTTTTTTCTTCAATTCTGCAGCTCCACTGGTTACTGGCAAATCATGGAATAAGCTGATATTAGACAGTGAATCCCCTGTGCTTGTGGAATTTTACGCGAGTTGGTGCGGGCCGTGCAGAATGGTTCATCGCGTGATAGATGAAATAGCAACTGAATACAAAGGGATATTGAAGTGCTTTGTAGTTGATGCAGACAATGACTCGCAAATTGCTGAGGACTATGATATTAAGGCTGTACCGGTTGTGTTGCTCTTCAAAAACGGTGAGAAACTCGAGTCTATTATTGGCACCATGCCTAAAGAGTTCTATGTCGCAGCTATTGACAGGGTTTTGGCTTCATAGATTTAGCTTATTAAGAGTGAAATGTTTCGGGTTTTTTTTTTGGTTCCAAGAATTGATAGAAGCATTGCTTCTCCTATTAAATTTTTCTTTTTTTTCTTCCACATCAAATGTTTGTACAGAAGCCAGTTTCTCAGTGTATTCAAGAACTATGTTCTTTTTAATGAACTTGTAGTGATATTTTGAAGTGAATTTGGTGGTCTTGTTTCATTAGTGTGTATTGAGAAATCACACACACCACATTTGGTATGCATATTGAGCTTGACAAACTCAGCTCGATCTTATCAAATTTGTGAGTGAGGCTCGGCTTGATTTATTGTTGGATTTTGGGCCTAAATTGAATTAGTAAAAATCCAGTCCATTTTGGCGAGCGAGTGAAATCAACTTTTTGCACGAGTGTAATACGAGTGTGTTTCCATCTGGTGCGATTGGGGGTTTGGGGTGAGAGACTATTGGACAAATCCGAGTGATTCTTTTTTATTTTGATAAGATCAAATCTGAGTGATTCGAGTCCAATCTAAGGGTTCCAGTGAATTGTGCTTTGTGTGTTGGACTGTAGGTGCCACCGCCGGTGGATTATGAACGAGAAAGTAGCAATAGAAAACTAACTTGCTTAATCGATTACAGTTTCATGTGTCGGAATTAATTATTAAGGTTTCCATATCTCTATTTTTTTTTTCTTTTCTTTACACTTTTATACTTAGAAATTAGGATATAATGTAAACCAGAATAAATAAATAAATAATAATAAATAAAAACAAAGAATAACAAAAATTAGAAACACGCACAAAGCAGACTTTCAAGTTTCAAGGAACGTATACATATATTGATATGTCGGTCCCCTTTAATTTTTAATGTTGGTATTTCTTTCTTTCTCAAACGAATTTGTGCGAACTTTTCCGTTTCCCCTTTCGGCCATCGCCCCCACACCTTACGTTACCTTACAGTGAAAAGCCCTTAAAATTTATTTTCTCCAATTCAGAAATAATTAAATAAAACTATACCCACCAAGAATCATTGTAGTTTAATCCACTCTCCAAGAACACTGCTTACTATTTTTATTTTTCCCTTTCTTTTTTGGGACAAAAGCTTCGTATCCGCTTCAGGTTAGTTTTCTTCTTCTTATTTCATTTTCTATTGGCGCAATTCGTTGATTTGATAAGGTGCTCGGATTAGGGTTTCTGAATTGAGGATTTTTTTTTTCAGTTAAAAAATTGGATCGTTTAATTGCTTTATGCGTTTCGAGTCTGAAGAATTGAATTGAATTTTCGCTTGATTGATTGGGTTGTCTATCCCTTTCGTTTATTTAGTTGATCTTTACTGGGTATTAGTGCTGGGTTGGATTTCTTACTGAATTTTCCGTTTCCTATGTATGCAAGATTTAATTTGATTTTATGGAGCTGCAGCTGCAATCTTTATTCCACCCTCAACTAATTTCTGTTGCAACTTTTGATTAAGATCGTTTTTTTTTTTGGAATTACATGAGCTGATTTTGAATCTTTCTTGTATGCAGTTTAATCTTAGCAAGGTGTTTTTCATTGGTTATATAGGCAAAATTGACCTAATCCCCAATTTATGATGCTAAATTGTTCACGGCAAACCGGAAATCATATCCACGAACAAAAATATCATTTCCCGTAGATGTCTCCATATTAAATTTTCTCAATTTAGGAAGCCTTGATGCAAATAGTAAAGGCCCTTCATCTCCAGTTTACAATCTGAGCTCCTTCGATTGAGAGAGTTTGATGGGCTGAACTGATTTCATTTGTAGCATTCCGTCAGCAGAAACGGAACTGTGAAATGAAGATTAATATAGATAATACACGTAGTGTCAAAGATTTCATTTGGTCTGTTTTATAAACATTGTGTTGGCCTGCTCTTTCCTGTTGTATGCGTTGCTGTTCGTTTCGTTTTCTACTCAACTCTGTTTTACTCATTAAATAAAATCTTGAATTGTTCGATTCCGTTTTTCCCTTTTCAGATCAATCACACTCTGTTGGTACACATATCTAACACAAGAAGAGTATGTCAAGCTCGAACATATCCACGCTAGCACTGCCTCCGGATTACTCCGAACAAAGATTTCATCATCAAATCTCAACCCCAAATCGAAACATAAATCAAAACCGAACTTCATTACAAGGCCCCGTAGCAATTCTTTGGGACATCGAAAACTGTCCAGTTCCAAGCGATGTCCGATCCGAAGATGTAGCTGGCAACATAAGAATGGCCTTGCGGGTACACCCTGTAATTAACGGGGCAGTCACTATGTTTTCAGCGTTTGGTGATTTTAATGCATTTCCGAGGCGGCTAAGAGAAGGCTGCCAGAGGACAGGTGTCAAGCTCGTAGACGTACCCAACGGAAGGAAGGATGCTGCTGACAAGGCGATTTTGGTTGACATGTTCCTTTTCGCCCTCGATAACCCTCCTCCTTCCTCCATCATGCTTATATCCGGGGATGTCGATTTTGCCCCTGCCCTGCATATTCTCGGTCAGCGAGGTTACACCGTAATTCTTGTGATTCCTTCTGGTGTGGGGGTTTCGTCTGCTTTGAGTAACGCTGGGAGATTTGTTTGGGATTGGCTTAGTGTTGCCCGTGGAGAGGGGTTTCTGCCCCCTCCGAAGGCGTTGACAATGCCTAATAATCATGCTGGCTCGGCTGAGATTTCTGGGTTTTTGATGGGGTGTTCTAATAAGGTCAACGACGATGTGGAAGGTCAAAATGAAGAGGAATCGATAGTGTATAGAGGGATTTCGAGGAGTTCGTATAATGCTACAAGAGAATATTCCACTCACTCGGAGTTTAGTAGTAGTTCTATATTAATGCTGCAAAATCGTGAGCAAAATGACTTGGCGTGGGTCCAGCCAGGAGATTTGAACGGTTTGAAGGGCCAAATGGTAAAATTGCTCGAAATGTCTGGCGGTAGTATGCCTTTGACCCGTTTACCCGCCGAGTACCAAAAGGTATACGGGCGACCTCTTTATGTTTCGGAATACGGGGCGTTGAAGCTCGTGAATCTCTTGAAAAAGATGGTAGATTCGATTGCTATTGAAGGGAAAGGGCAAAGAAAGACTGTTTGCCTTCGTAGCTCAAAAGGTGGATCAATTAATCCTCCCGTGATTTTGGCGAGGAGAGAGAAGAAAGGAAAAGGGGTTCAAGAAGATGGTGGTATTGATGTAATTATAGGCGGAGGTGGTTCGTCGGACGAGTTGTCGGATGATGATAGGGTGGCTGTTGATTTGGAAACTACGGAACCTTCTCAAGTTATTGATTATAATCTCAAGAATTTCAGATACGAGCTACAGGAGATTTTGGTGAGTTACTCCTGTCGGATTTTTTTGGGTTGTTTCGAGGCGATTTATCAGCAGAGGTATAAAAAGGAATTGGATTACGTGTTGTACGGTGTGAGTTGTTTGGAGGAGCTTTTGGAGAAGGTGAGTGATGTGGTGGTTTTGCAAGAGGAATCGGAGAGTAAGAGGAAGTTTTTAGTTGCTTCATGTTAGTTAGTTGGTTTGTCTGAAAAAAATAAGGTTTCTGAGTTTGTGTAAACCTTGTTTCTTGTTCTTGTTCTTGTCCTGTTCTCTGTTAAATTTTGGAAGAGAGAAACTGTGACGAGTAAATGTAATTGTGTCTGCTTAAATTTGTATTATATTAATAATGATTATTATTATTATTATAGGATTATTTTTAAGTTATTACTGTAGTAGAAAATGGCAGAGAGATCTTTCTGTACATTGGCTTTCATTTGTATTGTTAAAGTTTAGAATACAAGATGATAATTTCATTATTTATTTATTTTATATAGTGAAAAAGGGAATTAAATAATAAATGAAAAATGAGTGTTTAAATAAGAGTCTTAAAAGAAATGGAAGTATTAAAAATAATTACTACACTTTTTTTCCAGGTTGAACCAAAATTGTACAAATGAAGTGGAAACACACAGTAAAAGGAAAAGGGTTTAAATGGAAAATATATTGTTAGGCGACTGAGGGGATCCATTTTCGATGAGGAAGCTCCGACTGCAATGCGAACGGGTTGTGCTCGAAGAAGAAGCCAAACACCTCCCATCGCCACTTGAAAAGACATTTTTGCCCCTACTCTTCTTTCCTCTACTCCCTCCACTCTCGTCATCCTCCAAGGCTTCAACGAACCCACTGTTTTGAAACGGGTCCGCACTTTCGTACAATAGCCTGAGCACCTGCTTCATTGAAGGCCTCGCCCTTCCTTCTCTCTGCGTGCACCATTTGACTATTGCCACGAGGGTTTGAAGTTGGTCAAAGTCGTAATTATCGCCAATATAAGGGTCGATTAGCTCGGTTATTCTTGACTCTGAAGCAGAGAATTGTTTGGACCACTCGACTAAGTTTTTGTTGTCTTGTATGGCTCGTCTTCCTGTGATGAGCTCTAGTAGAACAACTCCGTAACTGAAAACATCACTCTTCTCCGTTAGCTCTTGTGTTATTATGTACTCGGGGTCCATATAACCTGTCAATGTTTGAGTTTTTAGCATCGAACAAACCAAGTTTCTAAGGCCTTGTTTGGCTGTACCAACAGAATTAGTCCAACATAAGATTATAGTTTGAGTTTTTAGGATCTCCCGTACCCAGTTTCTAAGGGCTCGTTTGGTTGATAAGAATTGGATGTTTTGTGAGCTTAATAACTGAGGCAATTGTGGAAAAAATGGCTCTAATGCTGGCTAATTGGGAGATTATTTATTGGATCTCCCATGGTCCAACAATATAATTGGATCTTATTCTCGGCTAATCTTATCTTAGGAACCAAACGAGGCCTAAGAGTATCTAATGCATATTCCCAATTAAACCAATATAAGGACACATTTGTTCCCAAAAAAAATGACCATCTTGGAAGCATGCACAGTTATCGAACTAACCAAACACAAAATAATACATAATTATATGCCACCCAAACGAGGCATTAGGAGATGTCTTTTATAGTGCAAGATGATTGGCTTACCTGGAGTTCCTCGTACATCGGTGTTTACAGGTTCAAAGGAAATCGAGCCGTCTTTTGAAGCATGTGCAAGCCCGAAATCAGCAACCTAGAATAGCATTCTTTTATCAGCTGAGCATAGCGAAAAAAAAAAAAAAGAAACTAAACAATTAATATATAAGTTTGCCTTTTTAAAAAGGAAGTGAATTTACCTTTGCAACAAAGTTATCATCTAGTAATATATTGCTCGACTTAATATCTCTATGGCACAATGGAGGGTCACAATAGAAATGGAGGTATTCCTGCACAATGAAAAATGTATCATGCGCAGATCTCAATGTTTCAAAAATCATTTTGAAGAAATTATTTAATTTGTGTAGATCAGCATATAATCCCCGGAATTTTACCAGCGCGTTTGCCACATCAATTGCGATTTGAATTCTTGTACTCCAGCTCAGTGGAGTTCGACCTTGTGCTAAACATAAGCAATTAGCCACTTAGTAAATCAATAAGAAACAATTGTTTTAACTTTTGAATTCTGATTAAGTAAATCTTGTTTCTTCTTCTGAATATATACTAAAACTACACACTACAAACAATACAAAACTAGAATAAAGAAACATTAGAAGTAATAACATACCATGTAGGTGATCTTTTAAGCTTCCATTTGCCATATATTCATACATTAGAAACCTAAGATAGAATAATAACTTGCAGGTGTTATTTATTGGTCAAATATATATATATATATATATATATATATATATATATATATATATATATATATATATCCTTTCCATGCAGAAACCTCTAAGAGAAACAAGATGGCGATGGTGTAATCGAGCAAGAAGTTCTAATTCTCTGCAAAAATCATCATCCGCTTGCTCCGAAGCTTTGCTCATTCTCTTAACTGCTGCAACTAAACCGTCCTCAAATTCACCCTTGTAGACAATTCCAAACCCTCCTTGTCCAATAACAGTGCCAAAATTATTCGTAGCTTTCTTCGTTTCTTTGTAGCTGAATTTTCTGAACATACACGATGGTCCTTCATGTAGTTCAAACACCAGACAACAAATAAAAATCAGCACATAACACATAATATATATATATTAAGGGAGAGAGAACTCGAGTGGAAACAAGGACATACCATCTTGGAATTTTCTAGAAGGAAGGGCGATTGCTTTTGGGGATGTTGTGTCATTGTTCATATCACTATCATTTTCGAGCTGTTTTGTTTTCCTACGAATGAGGACTATTAATACCACGAGCATTGTGACAGCAATAACAGTAACTGCAATAGCTATGCCTGCAATTACTGTTAAATGGTAGGGATGGCGATTTTCATTGAGAGGTGTGTTTAGGGAAAGCTGAGTTGGACTAGCAGCAATTGGAGATATCTGTGGTGGAAGTGAAGGTGGAAAACCTGAAAAATAGGCAATAAATATTATGAAGTAGCTACACACAAATTATATTATTTCGGAGAAAAGCTCAGATATTTGTCGTTTTTGGCTAATGCACACGTATTAAGAAAACTAATCAATGTGCATGGATTCTTAGAAAGGAAAAAAAAAACCAGATGAAATGACTAAAATACCCATTGTTTAATCATTAATTCTCTCTCAATAAAATAAGAGTATAAGGGAAAATTTGAGAAAAGTATGATAAATGCTTAATTGGAATTCTAAACTGACGAGTAATTAAAACAATTTTCTTTAATATAGGAGGGAGGGAGTATGAAACAAAGGTTTTCTCTTGATAGAAAATTGGTTGTAGCTGCACAGCTATCAAATATGTTTTAAATTAGATTTCAAGAGAATACTTCATCAAACCTAATGCCAGCAAATTCACTACATAAACAAGGAAAAGTTAAGCAAATCAGCAACTTCTTTAAAATCCCATAATAAAAACACAAGCATAAAGTTGGAAAATAAATACAAATAAAATAAGAATCATATCATATGTTTTGCAATTTTTCAAGAATCATCACACCTGTAGGGGAGAGAAGACTAATCCCGAAGAAACAACTCGCAATATCAATATTCGACACATAATCAACCCCACTAGCAAGAGCAACGAAAGTTGCATCCCTGCAAGTACTCAACGTAATATTATCAACGGGACCCAACAAATTCCTTAGATAAAGAATACCAGCATTCAAGCACTTTCGACAAGCAATACTATTATTATCACCCGACAGGGGCATTTTGCAATTTTCGGTAACATTGCTAAATTTCGGAGACTCGAGCATCTGAGTCACGGTGGATCGACCCTGGCATTCGTAGTTCAGGGGTATTTTGGTCCCGAAGCCACAAACTATTGTGGCGTTTCTTGTTACACCGTAGAGCTCAAAAGTCTTGGATATGGTGTGGAGGCATGTAGCAGATAAATCTGAAGGGATACCTAAGTTGCTTGTCGTGTTTGCGTACTGCGAGACGGAAACAGCAATGACGGCATTGATATAACGACAGCACTTTCCTTTATCTTCTTGGTTGGAGCAAAGAGAGGCGGCTAGTGTGAAATTAGACCTGCTCAAATCCAAGGGGCAATCTGCATATAAAAATGAGGAAAAATGCGAGACATCGTTAAAATTAATTATTTTACTTAAAAAAAGTTGGAATGAAGTTTTACAAGTTAAGTTAAAATTAGTAGAAGAACAAACATCCCCAAATTCAGGGTTATGAAATCAATACTGACAAACATGCATTAGCAAATTGAAGACACAAACAACTTCAACATTTGAACCTAATTACGATTAGCACCAAACCTTCGTTCAGGAATCAATTAATGCTCAGAAAAAAAAAATAGAAAATAACAGATGTCAAATTTGAAGTTTGAACTCAAAATCCACCAATGAAATTAACTGAGTTCGGCCACATGCACCGAAAATCCATGGAAATAATCAATTTCAAGTAACTAAATGCAGCATTTTTTTTCTAAAACTATACGGAGAAAATCGCAGTTAATTGTAGAAGCAACGGCGCTAACCAAGTGCAGCAACTGTTGAAGAAATTCGCGTTTCGAGAAAGACCGCGGAGAGTAGTAGACCAATAAATGCGGCCGGTCCGTACGGTGCCATGAACTTTGAAAGGAGGTGGTGCACGGCGGCGGAGCTTAAGCACCGGCGTATTTTAGCACATTGTGCGAAGGAGTGTCTGATGAACGGAAGGGGGGCGGGGTGGGGGTGGGTGGGGTGGTGTTGCTTTTGACTTGTTGTAGACTTACACTTTGTTTGGCTTCTTTAAATTATTTCCACACGAATCTGAGTGTGTTATGGGCATTGCATTTGTGAATTCCCCCTAATTATTAATTAAATTATATTCTTTCTCAGTTTCCGGAGCTTCAATTGTGGGGTCCATGGCCATATCCACCTTTTGCTAGATTTACAACTTATTGTGGTGTTTGCAAATGCTTTTTGAAAGTGATTATGCGGTTTTTTTTGCTCATAATCTGTTTTTAGGTGTTTGCAAAATCAACTTTTGCTTTTGCTTCTCTTAAAATAATCTGCTTTAAGCTTAAAAGCAACCCTAACCCTGCTTTTTTTATTTTAGTTCATTTTCCGAAATATTTGCAAACACCCCCAACTTTTAGAAATAAACACTTAAAACTAACTTAAATCACAATCACTAACTTCTGCTTTTAAATAATCATTTACAACACCACCTTAGTGTCGAGCTATTTTTTCAACATCCCTAATTGTTCAAATTTTAATATTAGATGTACTAAGTTCGGGTTTCAAGTTTTCGATTTCCAGTTTCTGGTTTTCGGGTTTTGAGTTTGACAGCCATGTATGGCCATTGATCACTTACCCATATAAGTCACAATGATATATCATTGCAAAAAGTTAAGTTTATTATAATAACGTTATATCATCCCAATGGGCAATGTGTTCTCTCGTGATCTTATTGCTAATTTTTTTGTTTTTTTTTTCTCTAACAATAATAGAAGTGTGATGATTGATCTTGAAGAATAGAGCAACGGCTATGATCTATTGATGAGCTAGAGTGCAACTGATTGGAAGGAGCTGAGCTACAGATGATCATCTCCAAAAAGAAGCTGAGGTGGCAAGTATAATGGTTTTTTGATGCAAGGCTTGAAGTTGATGTAGACCAATTGATCGAACCACTATAATCCAAATGAAGAAAGTTTCGAAATATTAGGTTGAATTAATCGGACAACATTTTCAATAATCAAAATTCAAAATTCTCGTGGCTTAGTTCTTGAATATAGTATTGATGGGCCTAAGTTAAAATTTATAATCCTAAGGCCCAATGTTGGGGTTTTGGGCCTTTTGTAGATGGATCGTCAAACTTTATTTGAGATATGCATCTCTCTAAAGGGTAAATTACTCTGAGGTATGGTCAGATTACGAAAACTTCTCTCTTGTTTGAATAATTACAATCATCCCCCAACTCATCAAATTTAGTGGAATCTTCGAGATTATATGGAACATTATCACTTTTGTACCCGTTTTATCACATTCAAACTGTACATTTTGAAGCAAGATGATCATAATATGAGTTTTTTGGCTTGTATATATCAGATTGTGGTGCATCAGAAACTGTATTTTTACACAAAACGAGTTTAAACTAGAGCACATTCCACGAATTCTAGATGATTATGTTGAATTTGACACCATAAGGGCAGAGGTGTAAGAAAAAATCATAATTTATGGGGTAGATGTAATTATTTAAACAAGAGGGTTTTTTTTTTTTTGTAAATTAGCCATACCTCACGGGGTGTTTGTAATTTACCCTCTCTCTAAATAATCCTTTAATATTTGACTTATCTGCTAAAAAAAAAATCTTAAAATATAATATATATATATATATATATATATATATATATATATATATATATATATATATATATATATCACTCTGTATATATATATATATATATATATATATATATATATATATATATATATATATATATATATATATATATATATATATATATAATATCTCAAAGGGTTGCTTGTAATTTTGAAAATTTAGCCAATTCTTCTTTAAAAAAATTATATTAACGTCAAGAGTATTTTTTTTATTTTTATGACTTGTCTTGAAGAAATACAAACGTGAACCGGATAAAATATACTAAATAAATAAAAAAAAAGAAAGAAAAGGACAAAAAGATGCAGACATATATATATTCGGTCTTGTTGATCAGACGGTTGTGCTGTTATTGTTTTGTTATTATTTACTCGAAACAAATGGTGAATTAAACATATATTCCGGCACCACTAATTTACGGTTCAATTTGAAGAGATGATTAAATTTAAAAACATTTTGAATTTTTAACCTTAACAATAATGCCGCGTCCCAATAAAATACAACAAATGACTTTTTACTATTGATGTGGTGAAATAATTTTTCACTAAACACACATATGTATATATGAGTATGTGTTATTATGTGAACATATGTATTTCAATTGGTTCAGAAAACTATTAATCAAACGAGTTGTTTGATTCAACTTATTCTACAACACATTTAAATTGTTTTATCAAAATATTAAAGTAAAACTTAAACATACAAAAAGGAGATGTGAAGGCAAGATTTCTGGTATAGTAATCCCTTGCAAGCAATGTTGTATGATAAACATAGATAATTTGGCGTAAATTCTTAATTGTTCAATTTATTTTTATCAACGGGGTTAACTTTAATTAAATTGAATATTAATAGTGGTTTTAAAAAATAAAATCTAACATTGGTATTTGGTTATTTTATATCAGTGAATCAGGTTTAATAAGTATTGATCCTGAGTTGAGTATCTAGTAATTTTATTCTTATTTCAATTAATCTAATTATTTTATTTTTATTTTATTTTAAACGCGGGGGCTAAACACATTGTACTCATCTTTAAACCCACACACACTTCAAAGCTTGCAAGTCTCTCCCTCCTGTAACTGAAATTGCAAAAGGTCGTACGATTTTCTTTCTAGCCGTTTATAGAGAGAGAGAGAGAGAGAGAGAGAGAGAGAGAGAGAGAGAGAGAGAGAGGAGAGAGAGAAAGTGATTCTTCTTCGTCTGATTTCATTTCTGCAACAAATTTCATGCATATTTCAAAAGCTTCGCACACATAAAACACATTTCTGCGCTCATTTGTATGTTTTTGTGTATGGATCTCTTAGGATTTTTGTTCGGAGTAGAATTCTGGAAATTGTTTCTGATGATTGACTATATTTTCTTTCGCAGGGACGGATTTGTGATGAATTTTTGCATTTCGGTTCTGTTCTTCGCGATTTTTCTCTTCGGCCATTCCTCTGCTCTTAAGGTAATTTATTCATACGCATATTCTGCTGTATTTGCACTATTCAGGTGCCAAAAAATGCTGGAAACTCGTTTTTTCTGTGTGTAGATCTCTGTTTCTCGCATTTGTGTTTTTTTTTTCCTTCCGATTTTAGAATGGAATTTTAATTTGATTTTTGAGCGGTTACAGCAAGGAGAAACGTGCATCGCGGACAAAAACTGCGACGCAGGACTGCATTGCGAAACTTGCATCGCGAATGGAGGTATCAGGCCGCGGTGTACTCGAATCCAGCCGATCAATCCCCTTTCTAAGGTTTGCCACTCGTCACTATTGTATAATCCGTACCGCGTATGAAATTGGTTTGAATTTAGTACTTGATATATACTCCGCAGTTAAAATTTGAAAATTTCTGGTTATAATCCTCTTTGACTTGGTGAATACAAAATTAGAAGATAGAGAGTAGTATCGATTTGTTGTTCAGTAGTACTGGATTTAAACTCTTCTTAAATTAGCTTAATTTCATTGATTAAAAATTAATTAAGTTGACTAATTAACGACGGTAAAATATATTTCTGGTCTTAGTTTGTTTGGTGATTAATTTTGATATGATCGAATTTTAGGTGAAAGGATTGCCGTTTAATCGGTACTCGTGGCTAACAACTCACAATTCCTTTGCGAGATTGGGGGCGAGGTCAGCTACAGGAAGCGTGATTTTATCTCCACAGAATCAACAGGACTCCATTACTAAGCAGCTCAATGTAAGGCTTTTAGTTCTCCTCCTTTGAATTTATACTGTAATTTTTTTTTTTTTTGAGGAGTTATACTGTAATTTTTATATCTACACTATATCCATGTGAGTATGCGCTGTAGCCAGAAAAAAAAAAAAAATCAGGGAACTGGTGGTGTTAGTTTAGGTTTGGGGTAGTTGGGAGTGTGCATGAAGTTGTCATCCATGTTGCTGTTTTTTTTTCCAGCGATGATGAATGATTTTTTGTTGGATAATTAAATATTCCGTTTCTTTAATACTAGTACTTATTTCATTATTTGACTTAATTAACAATTAATAACCTTTGACTAGTTCAAATGCATAAAATATTGTTGCAAAATGACTTGACTTGTGTCTGAGTGTGAAAGTGCTGCTGGACTAATGTTTTTAATAATTACTAGCAATGGTCTGACATTAATTAGCAATAATTAGCGTGGTAAACTTTCCCTCTTCACATTAATTTTTTTTTTTTCACGAGTGAATGCTTTGGCAGCTGTAGAATCAATCGTCTGTATCTGGAAATTGTGCACACTTATTACACTTTATATTGAAGTGCATAGTTAGGTGAACAAATTTAAGTTTCAGTAAGAGGAATGCCGAAATATTTATAGTTTTATTTGTCAAGAATTTCGGTACTCTATTTTTATGCCATAGAAATCTTGAACAGGCAGTCAACAAAGGTTTCATTTCATCCTGACTTTCGACAATCATATTGGCTCGACTAAATTCATATTATCGAATGCTGTAAAAGTGCTGAATTTTTTTAAATGGAACATTCTGTTGATACTACATTTCTAAAATTTGTGAATAAAGCTTGGTTTCTGTTCTAAGAACCAGTTCTATAAAAGCAGTAGGAAGAGTCCTCGAGGCTAGAAGCATAGAACATAGGATTGGCTTCTGATTGAAATAAAAAATTCACCCAAGTTCTGACTCGATAAGTGCTGAAAATTAACTAATGCTTATAGTAATACCTAGTCAAGTTTATCAAATTAGAATCGGAGAACTTTATTCCTGAACCCCAATTACATGATTGCTGCACGAAATAAAAGTGATATGTTTGAACTTCTAGCATATTTTTATAAACGACAGACGTAATACTGTTATCGCAATTCTTTGATGGTTTCTATCTATGCATTGCAGAATGGGGTCAGAGGGTTGATGCTCGATATGTATGACTTCGAAAACGATGTTTGGTTATGCCACTCGTTCGGTGGCAAGTGCTACAACTACACATCTTTTGTAAGTATATGAACGCTAATAGACCTACAGGATGAACTGCAATCTGAACATATTTATTTTTTTCTTAACTGGAACATAGATATTTATATGGGGGCATTCATAATGATATACACGTAAGTTGATACGAATATTATCGAGTTATTTGATTCTAATATACTGACTTTTGCTCTCTCCAGCAACCTGCCGTAAATGTTTTGAAAGAGGTCCAGCTGTTTCTCAAAGCAAACCCTACTGAAATAGTCACAATAATCATCGAAGATTACGTTACATCTCCAAAGGGCTTGACAAATGTTTTTAATGCCTCTGGGTTGAAGGAATTTTGGTTTCCAGTAACTCGAATGCCGAAAAACGGTGGCGACTGGCCCACAGTTGATGACATGGTTAGAAAGAACCAGCGTTTAGTTGTCTTCACTTCTAAATCTTCCAAGGAATCTTCGGAGGGCATTGCCTATGATTGGAGATACTTTGAGGAAAATCAATGTGAGCCCTTGTCTTAAAAATCGAACATCTTTTATGATGTAAGAAATTAAAAAAAAAAAAGAAAAAAAGAAAAAAAAAAGAATCTTCAAACCATCAATTTTATTGGATTCTTTTGAACTTGCAGATGGTAATGGTGGAATGGTGGCTGGATCATGTCCTAAACGAGCAGAATCGCCTGCAATGAATGCAACATCGAGGTCACTTGTTGTAATGAACTATTTTCCCGATAATCCAGATGTGGTGCAAGCTTGCAAACAAAATTCAGGGCCTTTAGTTACCATGATGAACACATGTTATCAAGCAGCTGGTGGAAGGTGGCCTAATTTTATTGCAGTTGATTTTTACAAGGTATTATTTATTTATTTCTTTTTTATAGCTTGACGAGAAAAAAACCAGGTAATTTAAATCTTCAAAATGGTTTGGGAATGTAAATATTGCAGAGAAGTGATGGAGGAGGAGCAGCTGAGGCAGTAGATATGGCTAATGGTCAACTCGTTTGTGGCTGCAAATCTATATCCTTTTGCAAGGTTCTTTGCATTTCTCGACGAATTTCGTAAAACATATATTCTTAAGTTTATTTTTTACCGTCGCTTTCTGGTCCTATGTGACACATTGAAATTTACAATAATCATATTATTGCAGGAGAATATGAAATTCGGAGCATGTGAATTACCCGAGGCAAGTATTGCCCCCACTCCAGCAGTCAAAACCGAAACCAGCTTCGCGATATTTGACAGCTCACCAATTCGATTTCAATGGATCTTCAGTCTATTTTTCATGGTAACTCTGTCACTGTAAATTTTCGATCTTATAGTACAATATGATAACGCTGGCAGATGAATATTGGATCAAGAAAATAGCTTTGGTAGATCAACAATTGCATCAAGAAAATATAATGGGTTGGGCTTTTTTAAAGTACATGCCTTAATGGGTAAGCCCGAATACCATCAAAGTATTTGAATTCGACCCGGTAAAATTCTTAAATATTGGATCAAGAAAATATAATGGGCTGGGCTTTGTTAAAGTACAGGCTTTAATGGGTAAGCCCGGATACCATCAAAGTATTTGAATTCGACCCGGTAAAATTCTTCAACATTAACTAAACTGTAAAATTTAATGTCAGATGGGGATTTAATAATTGCAAAATCACAGGGCTCAAGGCTCTGCAAACACTGAAAATCTTGAATTTCAATGTAGATAACATGTCAAACCTGCAGCAAACTCAATTAAATCTTTCATATTAAGCACACTTATCGAGACTAATTGCTTCCTTAAACGAACCACGACTACCATTTAAACAATTAGCCTATTTAATCCGACTTTTGGTAGGGCAAATCAGCGCCGGAGAATATGTCATCATCACCCGTGATATATATATAATAATGCATGGAGAATATATATATGTATATAAATATATATATATATATATATATATATATATATATGCTTGTTTGCTTTAGGCTGAGATTCTAGTGCTTTTATACTACAAGTTTATTCATATTATAGAGTAAATAAACAATATAATTATATTTATCGTGCCAAAGAATCAACCTAATTTAATATGCACAGCTGATAGCCTTTTGACAAGCCTATGAAGAAATAGTAATTACATATAAGCTTTTAGTGGAGATGGAGGAGATTTATTAATAAAAGTATTCCTGTACTTATTTATTTTCTATGCCCGACTAGATATGTTTAGAGTGATAGCATTGCGGAAAGAATTATATATTAAAAAAGAAATAAAAGTGGACTTTAGTTGTATTAAGAAAAAAAAAATACTTGAGCCGATTCAACAATACGGCTTTCCTCCATCACCGGAGCGGCACAAGCATGGTTCGGACTTCTGCCGAAGGAAAGCATCTGATCACTTTGAACAATTCGCTAGTTCGAAAAAATGTAAAAAGACCACATTGTGTTTATTTAGCAAATGAATTAGGAAAAGAAAAGATTATTAATCTTGTCCTAATTGTTATTATTAATATATTAATTAATTAGCAAAATCATCAATCTTTCTCTCTCATAATTAGATGACAACTCTCATGACATGAACAAAACAGAAAACATGTTGGGAGGCAAGTCATTTTAGATTGGGAAAGTCCACACATTTTCTTCTTTAGTATTTATTGACATCTCTTCAACAAATCCACTGCCCAAAACTAAATATAGATATTCTTTTCCTAGTCCTTCACCTTTTTCCAGCATTTTTAATTTATATTTTTAAAGGAAAAAAATATGTTTTCTTACTTTGACCTGATCAAAGACTCACTCACGGGTTTACTTCCTGGAGGCAGGTTTGTCAATTTTTTATTTTGGTCTGAATGTAAATATATGATATTACCATGTGTTGTTAGATGATTCTTCAACTTTTCAATTTGTTTTGTTTGTTGTTGGTGTTTTCCGACAAGACAGTCAAGAAATCTTTGATTTTTTCTCATTTTAATTTATTCTCCAAACTTAAACACACATAATACCGACGAAAATTATCACATGATGTTGTTAAACAACTTTTGTGACAGAATATCTGTATATATACCCATTCTGCCCACACACCATCTGCAACATTACTACAAAAAAAAGATAAAAAATTCTAATTTAATCTATGACTTATTGAGTAATCAACTTAATCAAGAGCTAATCTTATTAATTTACGTTTCTTGTATGATTGACAATCTATTACACGAGAGTGTAAATTTACTCGGTGCAACTATATGATTGGTTGCTGGTTAATTCATCACCAAATAAATAATAAAAGAAATAAGTAGAAAGTGGAAGAAGTGAAATAGAAGAGGTGGAATGACAAGACGCTCGTGTGGAAACAGAACAGCAGAGATGACTACTTTGAATTGGCTGTGGCTTAGCTGGCCGAACACGTGCCAAAGGTTTTTTTTTTTTTTTTTTTTTTTTTCTTTTTTCCTACAAATAAACAATGTAATGTTTCCTAAACTCACATCTCGATCATAATTACCAATTTACCACTTGTATTTAAATTGATTAAACTTCACTCAATGTTTGACTCCAATTATCCAACACTCTTTCCAGAGAGGATAGCTGATGGCATTTGGTTCTTTTAATTAGTTAAATTCTATTATTATATGTTAATTGTCAATTAAGTTTTTTATTTAATAAAATTTAGTTATTGTTTTAAGGATAAAGCTTATATATTCTTTTTGACCTAGTACAAAATTAACTGTAGGAGATGAATGTTACTAATTTCATAAAATAAAATTATTTAATTATGGGATTTCGTTTTAGTGACGGGCTAGGGTAGTGTTGAATCTTACCAACCAAACATCTTATTAGCTCTTACTATTTAATCAATCCAACATAGTAGTAGCAAACAGAACGAGGCCTAAGAAAACTAATTACCGAAAGGAAATCTAGTGAAATTAATATTTAAACTCATTTATTACTTCTTCTTTTTTCTTATAGATTATGAATGTCTTGGAAATAAAAGAAATTATTTCATATTATATGTGACAGTTCTACACTCTCAATGTAGAATACATTTGTTTTGTCCAAGTATATCTTATAATTCCTAACATCAACGAGAAATTAATGATATTAGAAACAAAAAGATAAAAAATCCCAAAAAAAAAAAAAAAAAAAAAAAAATTCAAATCAAGAAGATCACTTTGAAAAAAAAGTATGACGAAAACTTTTGATATATATATATATATATAAAATAAAAAAAAATAGAAAATAAAAAAGAAAGAGGTGAAAGGATAAAATAGATTCTCTCTACTCCAATAGAGTGAGTGACATCAAGTGGTCCGAATGTCGTGTGGTGTGTGTGTGTGGGGCCTACTTAAATCAACATCGTTTATGACTTTGGTGGGGTTCTTTTGGTAGGTCCCACCCAACATCTCAAAAAGCCAATAATTAATATATAAAAAATATATATTTAGCAAATAAAAATGACCATGGAAATAAAAAATAAAAATAAACTAATAGAAATCTGTAATGTAATGCTATTGTTTATCCACGAGAGAACTTATTGGGGCCGAATAAATTAAATAAATAAAGTAGGGTGAGAGACAAGCTGTCCCCCGCACATTCCTCTGTTCATCTTTGACCTTTGACTACTAGTCACCCCCCCCCCCACCCCCCAACATCCACCCCCTACCCACCCCCACCAAGACCCCACTATGAATTAACCAATGCTAGCTGTGCTTTCTGTATTATTATTATTAGGGTAAATTACAAACACCCCCTGAGGTATGGTTAAATTACAAAAACCCCCCTCTTGTTTGGATAATTACATCTACCCCCCTCAACTATGATTTTTTCTTACCTTTATGGTGCCAAATTCAACATAGTCATCTAGATTCCGTGAAATGTGCTCTAGTTTGTACTCTTTGTGAAAAAATACAGTTTTCGATGCACCACAAACTGAT